AGGCTTTAATAATTTATTCAAAAATACAGTGCAAACAGTAATTTTGTTCAATATTGTTACAATGCAAAATTACTTTTTTTCCTTGTTAATATATTTTAAAATGTAATTTATTCCTGTGATGGTAAAGATGTTTTTTCAACAGCCATTATTCCAGTTTTCAGTGTCACATGATTATTTAGAAAGTATTATAATATGCTAATTTGTTGCTCAAGAAACATTTCTTATTATTATCATCATCAATGATGGAAAAATCTGTGCTGCTTAACTTAAATCTTTTTTTTTCAGGATTCCTCGATTAATAGAAAGTTCAAAAGAACAGCATTTCTTTGAAACGTATTTTTTGTAACAATATAAAAGTCTTAACTTTCACTTGTGACCAATTTAATATATGGTACAGTACATTCAGTTCAATAATTTTAAAAATAACTGAAATTGAGGAGAAAACAATAATTAAAAAAAAATAAAAATTCTGACCAATTCTCAGAAATTACCTCATTCATCAGCATTTCCAAGGACACAGTCATGTAATGGACAAAGTTCTCCACCGAAAACAGGGACTGCGTATATAAATAGAGAACATAAATTTAGAGGCTCCAAAAACACAATATGTCTGAATACAGAATACAGACTCTTTAAAGGTCACTTCGACGCTTTGACTAGCCTAGAACTGCTGTTTCTCATGAGAATAATGAAACATGCTGTTAATGATCATCTTCACAAGCATCTATATGTTCACAATTTAACATTTATTTTCAGCCTCCTCTTTCTACTTTGACATTGTGAACAAAATTTGTTAATACTGTAGAAGAATCTTCTGTCTGTAGTTTGCCAAAGAAACAGCTTTGTAAGCAATGCCTTGTCTTTGCAGTAATCACAGATGTCATTCATCCCAATTAGAATGGTCAACAGTTTCCAGTCCTCATCAAAGTCAAGATCCTACAGCAAAACATGGGGAGAAAAATCACAACAATGCCAAGATGTAGGAAACAGCATATTCAAAAGCACTGTAACAAAATAATACACTTACCTTATATGTTTTTAGTGTATCAATCAAATGTCTGACTTGTTCAGGAAGATTACTAGGAAGACAACAAAATCATCAGCTGATAAAACACAGCAAAATTAAAAATATAGTTAAAGTTAAAATATCTTTATGGCATATTTTCAAGTGTTTTATCTTTAACAACCATTTATGAAGAATGACTATTGATGTACTGGCATTTACAAGGTGTTGTGTCCCGTTACAGCCAGGTTAAATCCAGTCTCGCAGAGGGGAGCCGGGGTCCCATGGACCGTCTTAGTTGGGGCGGGTCCCACTAAATGGGGGTTGAAGAGTCGAATGATGTCTAAATCATAAGCACAGAACAGTCTGGGTCACCAATGATGTATGCTTTAAGCATTTTCCAACAGATTTCGATTTGTAAATGCAGATTATGACTGACATTAAGGCAAAACTACGTACTTGCAAGTGTAATGACATCTTGAAAGGTTCCATAGCCACCAATGCTGATAAAATAACAAATCATCACAAATTTATTGGCAAATAAAAGTCACTTTATTTCTAAAAGTAATAGTCAAAGAAATCAAAAGCAATGTTAATATTAGTAATACTCTTACCTCCAAGACACGTGACGAAATTCAATAGGTATGCCAAGAACTGTGGTAGCATTTGCACCAATCGCTGTCTACAAGTGAGAGAATTACAATTATTAGAGATTATTATAATTTTATTTGCCACACACCAGTATTATCAGTAACTGCACTAGTTATAAATGTGTTCTTATTTTGCTATCTGCTTAAAGGGGTCATGAACTGCTTTTGTTTTTTATTTTGTACTGTTCTCTGAGGCCCACTTATAATGCCATCAAGATTTTTGCATCAAAAATATCATAATTTAGAAGTAATAGGCTATTTTCTGTCCACCCTCATCAGAACGCTCTGTTTGAATAGGCGTGGCGGATTGTAGACTCGGAAGTAAACGCCCACTGCTATGATTGGCTAATAGTTGTGTATGTTTGACAGCCTCCGTCCTTCACAAATGGATCTTGTGCCTTGTTTGTAAATGAATCCGTGGTAAAAAATATATATATATATATATTAAGTGAACAAAGGACCAAGTTCTTACTGACGCGGTCTGGATCTTCATTAACAATAAAGTTCATCCACTCTTTGCTAATGTTGGGATCAGAAGGAAGGCAATGCAAAGACTGTTTTTCCCACAGCTTGGCACTGCACAGCGTCTTGTTGTCTCCGGCACCATCTTTATAGTTTGGTTACTGCGTAGACCTGCGTTTGCCTCTCGACATTTACCCACTATGTGCGATAAACAGTGTTAATGATGTTTGATTTCACAGTTCATGACCCCTTTAAAGGGATAGTTCACACATAAATAAAAACTCCATCTTCATTTACACACCATCTTGACTTTTTTTCTATTGAACATAAGATATTTTGAGAAATATCTCATTGTTTTTTGTCCTAACAATGAATGTCAATGGTAACCAAAAGTACTTTTGTATTCCACAGAAGAAAGTAAGTCATAAAGGTTTGGAACGACATGAAATGATGACAGAATTGACATTTTTGGGTGAACTATCCCTGATGTTTACCTCATTTTGCCTCATGAGTGAATGTGATTAAAAGTAGTGTATAATTAATTCTGTTGTCAGCTAACTAATGATCAGTGGTCTTTAAAAATGAAAAGAAAAGAATCAATAATCACACTCACCGTCAATGAATCCCCAAGGGCAGCGATCACTTTAATATCCGCAGCCTTCACCAGCTCAACTACAATAGATACAGCGAATTAGAAGATCAGATACCAAAACATGATCTAAAGATTCTGCTGTAATGAAGTTTGCCTTTGGTACAACAAGAGCTAACATTCATCACCAATGATAAACATCAGCACCTAGGTAAAAATGCCCTCACAGCCTCAAAGAAAATGTAAAAAATCTAATTAAAGAATTGCCCCATTCCTGACTAGCACTGGCAGCTTGAATAATCAAGTTTGACCGTATTGACTTTAGATCAAGTGTTAATGATGTTTGATTTCACAGTTCATGACCCCTTTAAAGGGATAGTTCACACATAAATAAAAACTCCATCTTCATTTACACACCATCTTGACTTTTTTTCTATTGAACATAAGATATTTTGAGAAATATCTCATTGTTTTTTGTCCTAACAATGAATGTCAATGGTAACCAAAAGTACTTTTGTATTCCACAGAAGAAAGTAAGTCATAAAGGTTTGGAACGACATGAAATGATGACAGAATTGACATTTTTGGGTGAACTATCCCTGATGTTTACCTCATTTTGCCTCATGAGTGAATGTGATTAAAAGTAGTGTATAATTAATTCTGTTGTCAGCTAACTAATGATCAGTGGTCTTTAAAAATGAAAAGAAAAGAATCAATAATCACACTCACCGTCAATGAATCCCCAAGGGCAGCGATCACTTTAATATCCGCAGCCTTCACCAGCTCAACTACAATAGAGATACAGCGAATTAGAAGATCAGATACCAAAACATGATCTAAAGATTCTGCTGTAATGAAGTTTGCCTTTGGTACAACAAGAGCTAACATTCATCACCAATGATAAACATCAGCACCTAGGTAAAAATGCCCTCACAGCCTCAAAGAAAATGTGAAAAATCTAATTAAAGAATTGCCCCATTCCTGACTAGTACTGGCAGCTTGAATAATCAAGTTTGACCGTATTGACTTTAGATCAGAAGTCTGCATTCATCACGCTATGTGGGCAAAACACTGACCCTAGACCGGCCTACCTGAGGTGGGCACAGAAGAGGAGGGGCTCATGTCAGGACACATGAAAGGTGGGTGTTTGAAACTGATTGGCCTGGTCTTCTCAGGAAACTCCTGTAGCAAAATAACATGCTGGTTACTGTGAGGTCACAACTAAAACATCATTCAGGCCACGGACCACACTATAGACCAACCGGATACATTTTTTACATTATGATTTATTACAGATAAACCAATCGGAAGGTTGTATTTATGGCCTCATGTGACATTCCAACACAAAAACATCCTTGATGGTCAAAACATTTCCATTACAAACACACAAACGCACCTTTCTAAGCGCTTCCTCACTATAGTGACTGAGTCCTTCCTCATATTCCAGCCTCCACTCATTACCTTGGGAAAAATATTAAGATCCATAAGCACTTTAGACTTAATAAAGGTCAAAATTCCACTGACTAGCACGGAGGCCTTCAACATAGGTCCACACAAACATCTCGTTCCTTCATCCCAAATCAATCTCACACATGTAACGTGGGCCTTGCTTTCCAGCTTATCATCCCAGCTCTGGATGCTTCTAGCACTTACCTTTGACAGGACAGAGGGTTAGCAAGCAGGTTGCCACGGCAATGAAAAGCCACTCCATGGTGGAGCGTTTCCAAGCGGGTTAGCACAATGGATGTGCGTGCAGAGAGAACGGGGCCATTATATCAGTGCCCCTTTATCTCCCCCACCCAAAACAGCTGAGTGACGAAGTTCAGGCCCACCAACATAAAGCATGATCCAGGCGCACATGCAACTGCCAGAGGACTGGTGACCATTCACAACTTTAGAGAGCTTTAAATGGAAACCATGTCACACTAGGGCCTGGGAGAAACAGACTCCAATGCAGATCAGGACCAGGAACACTTTCAGAGAGAAATAAGAGATGTGCACACTGGATGTTTGTTTGGACTGAATAGCATTTGTAGATCTAATTATGTTAAGATAGGAAATTACATTCCTGTGAACCCATCGATTTTTATTAGTTATTTAGAAACATTGCCATTTGAAAATGTAATTATTTCCTTTTTAAGACTCATTTGTTATCATCTCAGTATTATGAGCGGTTTGACTCACATGGAACATAGAAGAACCTGTTATATTACTTTCATAGCTTCAAACCACTGCTGAATTACGAGAACGCTGCAAAAACAATCTAATGCTCTGGTGAATCTTTGCAAGAAAAAAACAAACTAATGCTCAGGTGAATCTTCACAAGAAAAACAGTTCTTTACATCCTATTCACATACATATGCTTACATTACAGATTTTTATTTTTTTTACACACCAAAAGTTGTGGTATTGCTATGTTACCTGAAACGACAGACACCATTGCCAAATAATCAATAGATATTCTAGACATGTTCACAACTGAAATATTTTTCCTCTGAAAAAGAACCTAAAACTGAGATTTAGCACACAAACAGCCACATCCCAAAACAAATGGATCAATTTCAGGAATTCACAGAGCTACAGATCTTAAACGCGTATCATCAAAAACATTTCTGAGAGCATTCAATGTATTTATCTTAAAATAAAAAGTCAAAAAGGTGTCTTGTAATACAAAAAAAAAAACGAACATTATAGCCATACAGCAACCCATTCATCAATTCAAATATTTTTCATGTATGCAGAAGTATTTAAATCCCATTTTGAAAACTTTTGGAAAGGTTGAATGACTAATGATGAATGAGGTTTGAGGTAACTAGAGCTTCAAATATCTGAAACATACTGGACACCAGCCATAATTGCACTAAATTAGTATCATAAACACCCTACAGAGACACTTTTGTAACAATTAAAGTAAATCAAAGGCAGTAGTAATCTAAATGATTCAACATTTGGCAAGGTGAGCGTTTATGGCAATAAAAAGCCTTATGAAAAACTGCTAACCTTAGATTACTTACCGTGTAGTTTATTCATATGTAACTGTGCACATTTGAATCGAGACAGTGAAATGTACATCAATGTGCTGCTGAAAACTACTTTTGTCCAAATACTGACGTTATAAATCATTTCTGGACTACTGGAAAAAAAAATCTGCTAGCAAGCCACTTAAATGAAAGCATGCTGAGAGTATGAACTTTTTACATATTGAACTCAGAGCACAGTCCACCTTAAACTCTGCGTTCCAAAGAGGCATGAATTTGTACTAAACTTAATACAAAAAAAACAAATCTGAATGGGTTGCACCTAATAGGTTCGATCCTTAGCTTTTAGCACAGTGACAAGCAAAAGCAGAAACAACTAATGGAGTTCATTCAACAATGTTGTATTTTTCCCCCCACATAGTGAGTGTTGATTTGCACAAATGTTATTTCACCTGGCAAAACCCTGAGGAGCACATTTAAGATATTGTAGAAGTTCATCTAGTTTTTCCCCAAGCCACAGTTAAAAGACAAAGGAGGGGCTGGACAGGGCAACAAGAGTCCTGAAAGCTCTTTTGGGGTTAACAAGATTAAAGACCACAGCAGGTGCAGGTGTCAGTGGCTGTCCCAAGTTGGGCCTCAATTCGTTCTCCAGTAATCCTTGTCCCATTTGGTCACCTCCACTCTGATACCTGCTCTCTCATTGTTCCTCAGGCTCTCCGGCTGGCTGCTCAGGCTGGGCTGGAGGTCTAGGGGGTGCTGGAGGGGCTCTGGGTACGGCTTGGTGCTGTCTCTGCCGATATGCGACTACTGTGCCCAAGAGCAGAGCAATGACAGTCATGAGGTAGAGATCCCACTCAGGACCCAGTAACTGGTCAAGATCCACCTGAGATAGAAGCTCATTCAGCTTAAGTAAAAAAAAAAAGATTAATGTTATTGGTTAGTCCTTGACTTGAGGCAAATCAGATTTCAGGTGGATTCTCACTGAAAGATTTGACCTACATTAAGATCTTGCAGGTACTGTTGTGCATAAATAAGGCCCAGCTTGCACAGGGCCAGGAACACAGGAACTTGGGCATCAGGACTGGCTTCTGCAGCCATGTCATAGAAACGTTTAGCCAGATGAATGTCCTGTGAAGGAGCAATACAAAAAATTAGCGCACTGTATTCACTACAGATTCAATATGGTCAGTAAAGAAAGTTTTTAGAAAGAAATTAATACTTTTATTCAGCAAGAATGCATTAAATTGATAAAAGTGACAGGGAAGACATTTATGATGTTACAAAAGTTTTCTGATTCAAGTAAATGCTGTTCTTTTGAACTTTCTTTTTACAAAGAATCCTAAAAAAATTTATCACAGTTTCTACAAAAATGCTAAAAAAGTTGAAAGGTTTCAACATAGATAATACGTTTCTTGAGGACCAAATCAGCATATTGGAAAAATGAATGATTTCTGAAGGATCATGTGGCACTGAATACTTGAGACTTTGCAATCACAGGAATAAATTATACTTTTTAAATATATTAGAAAAAGTTTTTTTTTTTTTAAGATTTATTTTTGGCGTTTTGCCTTTTATTTAAATTGGACAGTGTAATGACAGGAAGCGACGTGGGAGAGATAGGGGCGGGAAAGGTCCACGAGCCGTGATTCGAATTCAAGACGCAATGGCGCTGTAATGTTTTTTTTATAGTAATAATAGGTCACAATTTTACTGTTATTAATCAAATAAATTAAAATAAATGCAGCCTTGGGGTGCATAAAATGTGTTTCAAAAACATCTCACAGACCCCAATCTTTTGAACGGTAATGTACATGCTTGCTTATATGTAAATATGCACAGATATTTCACCTGTTTAATTCCAAGGCCCTTCTCATGCATATAGCCTAGGTTGAACATGGCCTGTGCACTGTGCTGTTGCTCAGAGGCCAGACGATAGTGAATGACTGCAGTCTCATAGTCCACATCAGTGCCATAGCCGTAGAAATGATAGTCACCCAGCTTGATTCTGGCCACTGTGTAACCTGATAGCAAAACAAAATATAAAACAGATACTGATACAGAGGTCCTCGGTGTTCAACAGCTTGATAGAGCCTCAAACAATATTTAATAACATGTTATAAAAAAAATATATGTTTTTATTTTGCAACAGTGATTGTCTGACTTTACATTATCCTGCTTATTACATACGTAGCTGTGTACCAAGTAAGTAAATAAATGGTCATGATATAGTGAAATTGCGTATTTTATCAATATGTAATACATTTTCTTTAAAGAGTAATATGAAAGTAATATGAATATGACAAAGATTGGTTGCCAGAGACAACAGTAAAATAGCAGCAATGATACTGAAATGTGAGGCAGCAGGATGCTGCGAATGACCAATCAGAATCAAGTATTTGAGCGAGTCATGTAGCAAGCAGTTATATTTGTCTCACTATAATGGTTGTAAGGTCATCAAAGCACTTTGGCATTTGCTAGAGTGACTGTGTGGGTTGAAGAGAACAGTCTAACCTTGAGCAGCTGCTCTGGTCCAGTGGAGCAAAGCCCGTGGGTAAGATTCATTCTCATTGAAAATCTGTGATCCCTCTGAAAGACACATACGCAGAGTCAGATTTATTATTACAATGTGAAATGGCTTAATTTAGCTGGGTTTTAATTTACCAAGGGACAATAAACATGAAGGGAACATCTTTATACGTAGTCTCTCAGGCTTTCTGTGCAGAATGCTCTACCTTCACAAAGATTCTGTGACCTTCTTTAAATGTTCCCACATATTTAGACATGAATTTCCATAACTTTTTTCCCAGTCATTTAAGATGACTAATAATTACGCTTTAAAGAGGTCATGAACTGAGAAATCAAAATTCCCTTGATCTTTTGACATATAAGAAAATCACTGGACTATAAAAACATCATGTAAGTTTCAGAACTCAAAACTTTCTTGTTAGTGTAAAAACAGCTTATATTGAAGGCAGTCTGCCAAAAACGACAGCTTGTGGAATGTGCCACTTGATGATGTAATAATGTGGCTAAACACCCCCTCTGCAGAAAGAAGATCAACACCTGCTTCTAAGTCGCTGCCTGTTTGGCCCCGCCTACCGATTCACACACGTAGTGTAAAAAGCGAGAGAGCTGAACGCAGGTCTATGCAGAAGTCAAACAATAAAGATGGCTCTGAAGGCAACAAGACGCTGTGCAGTGCCAAGTTGTGGAAAAACACAGCCTGCGTCCCAATGTGCATACTATCCATCCTAAATTCTGTGATATTAGTACTTTTCAATACTATTTACGGCATATAGGGTGGACAGTATGCACATTGGGACGCAAGGACAGTCTTTGCATTGCCTTCCTTCTGATCCCAACATTAGGAAAGAGTAAATTAACTTTATTTTTAATATCCAGATCGCATCAGTAAGAACTTGGTCCTTTGTTCACTTAATTTGACTACGGATTCATTTACAAACAAGGCACAATTCGACACAGGATTTCCAGAAAGACTGAAACTAAAAGACAACGTTGTACCGACTATATTGGATCCGACAGTAATGTCGCACCACACAAGTGTGAGTAACTGTTTTTTATTACGTGGTCACTATTGCTTTGTCTGTAATTACAGATCGTTTGATATGTACTGAGTATTTATGCTTTTTTATTTGCTGTCAAACATACACAACTAATAGCCAATCATAGCAGTGGATGTTTACTTCAGAGCAGATATGTTCACAAGTCTTTAACTTGGAGTCCGAGTCAAGTCTGAAGTCTTTAACCTGGAGTCTGAGTCAAGTCTCGAGTCTTTGGTCACGAGTCCGAGTCGAGTCTCAAGTCATTTAATGGCTTGCTATAAAAAAAAATCTCATTCAGAATCCTCATGTATTGAAATCTTCCTATTTACGAAGCTGTTTTATAGGCTATAGACAAAATATATATTCTTTGATTTGCTTTTTAAAAAAAAAAAAAAAAAAAGAGGTGTAAGATGTAAGTTTATTGTACATCCAGCCTGTTATTTATAGGCTGTGTTTTAATCCATTACCATGTTCAAAACAGTTTTTCTGTAATGAAATTCTATAATAAGAGTCCGATCTACCATGACACACAAGGAAATGTGAGACACAGATATTACAAAACCATACAAATAAAGTATTTCTGTATTATATAAGGGGTATTCAATTAAATTTCCCAGGTGTGGCCTCCATTTTCTTCCAAGCAGAGTTCCGAAAAAATTAAAAAATAAATGTTTTTTACATGTATTGCATTTTTACATTTAGATACATGTTTCTGTTCAGGGTTTTCCACCTGAAATCTATACTATTTTAATATGTTCGCCTACTTAAAAGCATTATCTAAAAACAATGTAGCAACAATAAATCAAAACGCTCTCATCTTGAGCAGAAAAGAACGATATCTAGCAATTTCAAAGTTTAAGTTCTATCCAAGCCATCTAACAAAAATTTTCCCAATTATAATACATGATATACATGATTCTTTTGAAATGTTCTTAGCCTACAGATTAATAATGCTAAATGTAGATCACAAACGTCTTGTCACATCTGGTTTGAACAGTCAGAGTCATGGGTTATAGATAGATAAATAGATAGTATGAAAAAAACTATATTTGCAGCATTGTTGTTTTCTGCTGTGTTTTGTTGTTTCTGTTGTTGTTAAAATAACCGCGTCATCTGCAGCTCTTGAGTTTGAATGAAGAATAAAGCGCGTTTGGCTTTTGATAAAAAATACTAGAGGATATAGCGCTGAAAGATATTTACCATAAACGACCCTGAGCGCTTGTTATGTGATCCGCTCCACTGTTTTGACGCGCTGCTCACTTAAAATGGTGCTGCTGTTACGCTCGCGGTCCGGATGGATGCCGGGGTGCGGATGCGGTCTGCCTTCTGAATATCAGTTATAAGTATTATAACTGATAAAAGACTTGAGTTTCTTTTAAAATATTCACGAGTCGACTTTTCCTCGAGTCGAGTCAAGTCTTGAGTCATTTCAGGTCGAGTCTGAAGTCTATAAAAATGCGACTCGAGTCCAAGTCACTAACTCGAGTGGCCATCTCGGAGTCTACAATCAGCCACTGACTCCTATTCAAACAGAGCGTTCTGATGAGGGCATTAAAAACAGGAGAGAAAACAGCATATTACTTCTGAATTATGTAATTTGATGTAAAAATCTTGAGAACATTATAAGGGGACCTCAGAGAACAGTACAAAATAATATAAAAAGGCAGCTCATGACCCCTTTAAAAAAAGAAATCATAATACACAGATTTCCATGGCAGTTATTCATTAGCATATCAGTGACAAAACATTTAATTGTAATAATTTCTTAAAAGTAACATATTGATTAACTAGCAAAAGCATTTGAATATTTTAGAGCATAACATGAAATAATAATTATATTCCCTTTAGATATGCATACTCTCCATAAAATATAAAAGTCATACAGCCATGACTTTTCCAGGCCTAAAAATAACAATTGTAAAAATTTCCATGACTTAATGACTATGGGTGGGAAATCTGTTCTTTATTTCAAATTTCAGATTATTGTCAGGGCAGAATGGGATGGTAAAGTATACATAAACTGTTTTTTGTTGTTATTCATATTTTTTTAAAATAAAGATATGATTTAAAAACAAAATTTAGATTAAATGGCAGAACATGAAATAATAATTATATTCCCTTTAGATATGCATACTCTCCATAAAATATAAAAGTCATACATCCATGACTTTTCCAGGCCTAAAAATAACAATTGTAAAAATTTCCATGACTTAATGACTATGGGTGGGAAATCTGTTCTTTATTTCAAATTTCAGATTATTGTCAGGGCAGAATGGGATGGTAAAGTATACATAAACAGTTTTTTGTTGTTATTCATATTTTTTTAAAATAAAGATATGATTTAAAAACAAAATTTAGATTAAATGGCAGATGCTGACCAACTATTCTCAGACCAACTTTTGACCTAATACCAAAATTAATTTGCATGTAGGTGTTGGGGGTTTAGCACCCTCTGGTGGTAGTGGCAAATCACTGACTCACTTTGATCAAGGATGAAGGCTACATTGCTCTGGGCGACCTCGTAGCCCTGTTCGGCCAGCAGTAGATACTGTACTAGAGCAGAGTCCATGTCGCCGTCCTTAAAGCTTCCGTATGCTGCCATGAGTCTCTCAGACCAGCGGCCGCGCTCACACACGTTCTTGAAGAGCTGGTCTCACACATACATTCATGGTAAACTATCAGAGAAGTTTTTTGAAACATGGCCATGCATGATGAAATAGCGTCTCACCTCCACTGCAGTGTGGCAGGAGCGCATGACCCCAGTCCCCGTGGCATGCATCTGAGCTAGATTGTAGAAGGCTAGGATATGACCCGCTTGAGATGCCAGGTTAAAGAATTTAAGAGCCTGCTTATAATCACGTTTCACCCCGATTCCATCTAAAATATGAAGAAAGTGAAAGTCATAAATGCACTTTTTATACTCTCAACACCCACTAGCTGAAATGAGTAACACACTTCTGAGTCCTCAATGTTTGTCAAGATCATGCCAAAGCAGAATGCAGGTGGGAGTTTGTCATGGCAACAATCACCTAGGCAACCAAACCAAAAGGAGTTAGCTGTGATTTAAGATAAAAATAAGATAAATCGCTATTGAAGTGGTGGAAGAGTGAGCTAGACAGGCAGGTAGAAAAAGGGAAAAGGAAAAACAGAAATATATACTGAAGCAATATTAGAGCAGAGCAAATTGTGAAAAATTCACTAAAATTTTCATGGTTTTTCCATATTTGTTTTGGTGGGAGTTTGTCATGGCAACAATCACCTAGGCAACCAAACCAAAAGGAGTTAGCTGTGATTTAAGATAAAAAATAAGATAAATCGCTATTGAAGTGGTGGAAGAGTGAGCTAGACAGGCAGGTAGAAAAAGGGAAAAGGAAAAACAGAAATATATACTGAAGCATTATTAGAGCAGAGCAAATTGTGAAAAATTCACTAAAATTTTCATGGTTTTTCCATTTGTTTAAAATTTTATTTTACAAATGTCTATTAAATAAATACATAAAATATCAGTATCAGTTGTTATTATTATTATTATTATATTTAGAAATTAGTAATGTCTGGTAAAATTATTTGAATGTCTGAAATTATTTTAAAATTATTTTTATAATAATAATAATAATAATTCCCTGTTCTATATTCTAAGGCAGAGGTCCCCAACCACCGGGTCGCAACCCGCTACCGGGTCGCAAGAACGTTCTGGGAAAAATGTGTATAGATATGACACTCTGTTATTTATTTATGCTAATGATTGATATAATTATTCAGTATTTTTCTTTGTATGCGATTTATGTGGAGTAGCAATTTGACAATTTCATGTTAAATAAGTAAATGAAAGATTGCTCTGATCGGTCACATATTAGGAGTTAAACGGATCGCAGTTGATCCGTAATACGTACGGATGAGACCCTACCGTTCGACATGGGAAAAATAAAATGTGTATAGATATGACACTATTTATTTATGCTAATGATTGATATAATTATTCAGTATTTTTCTTTGTATGCGATTTATATGGAGTAGCAATTTGACAATTTCATGTTAAATAAGTAAATGAAAGATTGCTCTGATCGGTCACATATTAGGAGTTAAACGGATCGCAGTTGATCCGTAATACGTACGGATGAGACCCTACCGTTCGACACGCACGTGATTCGCAGATTAATTTGCCAATTTACACGTACAAGCAATTTTAAACCACAAGAAGAAGAAACGAAAGAGAGCTAAATTCGTTACTCATGTGCTGTTCTCACACACAATCAAAGTGCGTACAAGAGACTAGTTTCAGACAGCGCGGAAATACTGAGTTGTGTATACATACACATAAAATTAGCCTGTTAAAAACCCTTCACGGCATTGTCATTCTCTGTGCTTTTTCCTTTTGCAGTAACAGCAGGAAAAGTAAAGAAGCAGAAGTGAAGAGAAAAAAAATGAAAGCAAATTATTCACATGCAATTTCTCTGTCTGACACACACTTACTGTAGTACATGGATCCCAGCTGCAACTGTCCGTCCACCCAGCCTTGCTCTGCAGCCTTCTGAAAATACTTCAGTGCCAGGTCATAGTTCTGCAGGATCGAGAAGAAACGATGACTCAAAAGATCTTTGAATGATTGCATAAAGTTCATCTCATCTAGGAAGCTCACCACAGGAACACCCCTTCCATACAGGTAAGCCATACCGAGGCCACTCTGGCCAACCGGATTTCCCTAAAAAGATGCCAACAAAAATGACAGATTAGAGAACATTTGAAAATGAACAGTTTCTGAATCTTGAAAGGGGAAAATAATTCTCACCAAATCTGCAGCCTTTTTGAAATAATGCAGGGCTGTGTCATTGTTCTGAGGCACATACTCACTGCCTTCAGAGTACATCTGAAACAACAGAATGAGAGTTAGAGAAAGAAAAATGGACACAGAGGTTGAACAACAGCGAGATCATTCAGCTACAGTCCAGGAAAACTCAAAATAAGGGACTAATTAAGTCTATACCTTTCCAAGGAAGGCCATTGCATGTGTGTTCCCTGCATTTGCTGCTTGGTTAAAGTACTCATATGCTCGCTAAAAATAATGACAAATAGAAAGTAACTATAAAATCATTATTTCAAATTATTCGAAGAAATGTACATAAAATATCAGAGCCCCCCCCCAAAAAAACTACCTGATGATTCTGTTCCACACCTCGTCCTCCATGTAAGTTTAACTGGCCCAGGCCCACCTAGACAAGAAAATTTAAGTGTGATAGTAACAGTCAAAAATACAAGTACATAAGGCCATTAATTGCTGCAGTGATACAGTCTATGTTCAACTTCAAATAATGCCACAGGGTGAAATTCTTCTTACAGACAAATCAGAATGGTTTTATTTTACCTGTGCCTGCACATCTCCTTTCTCAGCCAAGAACTGGTAGTACTGGATTAAATCCTCCTCTAGCATTCCACTGCTAGAACCAGGATTTTCCACTTCATCTAAGAGCCGGATCCGCTGTACTGCACTGCCCCCTGTCAGGGATACATCGCTGGCCACTAATAAAAAAAACAAACGTCTTTGTTACAAAAGTAGTTACTTTGATATTACAAGACTTAATCATCACTGAGGTTAGATATGGACAAAGTGAGAACAACTGAGCAGTACCAGTGATTATTCATGAGCAGTATGAGTGTAATTCAAATGAAAAATTAATTCCTACAGAGATTTTATAGTTTTATGGTCACACTGCACTGCTCACATGTAGCATTTAAGTCACTAAACATTTCCTTAGACAGACTGGGAAAAAAGGTGAGTGGCGACCAAGGATCCAGATAACATCTTTTAAAAGATGCTGTGCTGAAATTCGATATGTTTAGACATATGAGGACTGCATATAAATGTGACAAGATTTACCATGATTGGCCACTAGTCTGTAGTGAGTGAGAGCAGATTCACAGCTCTGAGGAACCCCAACACCTCCCCAATATCTGTAGCCCTGAAAAAAATTGATGGCATTTAGCAGATGGCACAGCCAGGAAATGCAGGCTAAACACAAGCCTACAACCACACCAATGCATTAAGAAAGTAGTCATGGATAAATTATGGTGCCACATGATCTGAGGTTTCAACTTTGCTGCATGTAACTGAGCCAGCGTGTCGGTCAGAACTTCAATAGATCCAAAGGTTTGTTTAGACACTCAACTTGATATATGCAAAGTCAAATAAAGACTTGACGCATACGATAAGCAAGTCATCAAGTCTAATTTCCTCGGTGGAACAGGATCCTCCCTGGTTTAAAATACAGGACAGAGAATCATTCTTCTTACCAGAATCATATGTGCTAATAGGTTTCCACCCAAAGCTCCAAAGGTGTAGTACACCAATGCCTGCAATTAGATGAAAAACAGCATTTTCATTAAACATTCACATTTAAAATAAGCAGGCTGTGCTTTCTAGATAAATGTCATTAGGGAATACCTTTGCTTGACTTGAGTTCACCCCTAATCCTGCAGCATATAGGAAACCAAGTGCCTGTGTGAACACAAATTGAAAATTGGTTTCTCAAATGTACAAAAAAAAAAAGAAGAAAAGAAAGTAATTATATAAAATGGAATAAACTTTTCCTGATGCAATTGTACAGCAGTGATACAACCCCACACACAGCTGCTATTCTTAAGAAACAGCTTGAAATGAGTCACAGGACAAAAAAAGCATCAGTATTAACATAGAAAGATGACATTTCGTTAATAAACAGTTGCTATTACAGTCTGGGCTTTAGGGGAGCCCTCCAGTGCCAGCTTCTCAAAGATCTCCTTCGCCCGAGGAATGCTCTGGGGTAAGTAGTCTCCAAACAGCATAGCATATGCCACCTTCTCCATGGCCTTGGCATGACCCATCTCTGCAACTTTTAGGAGTCTGTCATACAACCTGTAATGCAGAAAAAGAAAGTAATTATATAAAATGGAATAAACTTTTCCTGATGCAATTGTACAGCAGTGATACCCCACACACAGCTGCTATTCTTAAGAAACAGCTTGAAATGAGTCACAGGACAAAAAAAGCATCAGTATTAACATAGAAAGATGACATTTTGTTAATAAACAGTTGCTATTACAGTCTGGGCTTTAGGGGAGCCCTCCAGTGCCAGCTTCTCAAAGATCTCCTTCGCCCGAGGAATGCTCTGGGGTAAGTAGTCTCCAAACAGCATAGCATATGCCACCTTCTCCATGGCCTTGGCATGACCCATCTCTGCAACTTTTAGGAGTCTGTCATACAACCTGTAATGCAGAAATATAAATCTGAATAAACACTACTGTTTAATATTTTGTGGTTGGCAAGTCTCTTATGTTCACCAAGGAAGCATGTATTTGATTAAAATACTTTAAAACAGTAATATTGTAAAATATTGTTAAAACTTAAAATTAATATTTTCTATTTTTATGAATTTAAAAAAATAATTTTTACTCGATGACAAAGCTGAATACATTTTCAGCAGCCATTACTCCTGTGTAACACTTAAGAAACCATTCTAATATGCAGATTTGCTGCTCAAGAAAACTTTCTTGTCATTATTAATTTTAAATACAGTACTTTTTAATATTTTTGTGGATACGTTTTTTTTTTTCCAAGTTCAAAAGAATTTATTTGACACAGAAATCTTTTTTGACATTAGAAAAGTCATTAATGTCACTTTTGATCAGTTTTAAGCATCCTTGCTCAATAAAATTATTTTTTTTTTAATTATTATTCCTTAGTTCAATTATACACGTTAATACTTTTGAAGCTCCCCAGAGGCTGTTCCACCAATCGCCACCGGAACTATGATAAACACCAATGAGAATGTGACACAATAACCAGATACTTTCACAGGAAACAAACTACACACTTGTGAATGCATGAGTGAGCAGGTTTCTTTTCTCAAACACTGAAAGCTGTGATGCGGAGAGCAACAAAGAAAGATCTTGTGCTGTAAAACCCTAAACTAAGCGACATGGGACTAAAACGGTATCAAAACCTTGGGAGTTAGAGAGAGATCTGTTTGCACATGAATGTATACACACAATTACTCAAAATAATATATCAATATTTTCACTATGTGTGTGTATACGGTGATGTTTTAAGAAAAAAATACATTTTAAATTTTACATTGAGAACATGGAATCTAATTTATTTTTCTCAAAATGCAATACCAGGAATCACTAACACAAAACACTTCTACCCAACTGACTCTGATAAAATATCATTATGTTTAAATGCTGTATTACCTGAGACTCACCATCCTCTGCAACTCCATCATCTTGAAGTACTTCTGCAATCAAAATGCCAACTCATAAACACTTCATATGCAACACGTTAACATATTAAATAGCGTAGTTAATGTCTAAATAAACACACATTTTCCTAATAATTGAAAAAGAGCCTCTGACTCACCCCTAGCTGTCACTTCCAAAGTCACAGCTAAAGCCATAATAAGGACCAGACAAGACTTTGTGGGATTCATGTTGCCAGAGTGTGCAAAACGCAGTGGACTAAAAATCTGACTTAATTAAACCTGCACACTAACTTAACTGTCTGTTGTCCTAGCTAGCCATTTAGCTATATAAATCTGTCAGTGAACTGCACCTGACTGCATAACCGACCAGCTATAGAACTTAGCCAGCGAGCCAGTCAACCAGAAACTTCTCCCAAGAGCAAAAATGGATTATAATAAAACAACCCATTCGCATAAACTGGACATTAACACCCTTACCAAAGCATTTTGAGCTAGCAGCTCAATGTAACTAACTCAGTGACAGCCTGTCTACACAGCTTTAGCACAGCTAAACACACAACACTTCCCAGAGACTAACGTAATGCCGTGTCGCTCCCGGACCATGAAAACATTCCAAGACGATTTCTGGAACAATGTTTCCAAGGCACCTGCAATGTTTATCAAATTCAACAACACAAGACAGTAACAGTTTAGCCGTCGTTAGGGTTTCTCGTGTTACAGCATATTTCTGTTCACTGACCGACCCCCTATTTCCTAATCCGCTGCGGCTTCACCAATTAGGAGACCGGATCGCATGTAATAGCCAATCGCTGCGCTCCAACAGTCAGTTGACCAATCAGATGCGCACACACAAGAGTATCACGGCGCCTGAGACGCGAATGGAGCAGAAGTACACGACAGTTTGCAGGATATGAGAAGAACGCCTTTGAACAGCTGACTCTCTTTCAGCCGAGTGTGAAGTAAAAAGTATGGGAGTTATCAAATATTATATTATTATTAGAAATAAATATTTTAAATAGTCTACAAATATTTTAATAGTCCACACTCATAAGCGATAATGGTTCTTATAAGTTAAAACATGTATAAGTTAAAACATTTATTTCTTGTTTTATTACAACACAGATTTGACAATGTATTTAAGAGGTATCATGATTATACAATCAATTCGACTTTTGCTTCATCACAGAAAAACATATTTTCACTTATAAAATACACAGTTTTAAATAGTTAATTATCTATATCTGGAATGCCCAGACATAACATTCAAACATACATATTATATTCAAACATGACAAGCTCTAATGCAAACCTAGCGCAGGCAGGAAATACAACAAGTGTTTCATGTTCACAGGTGTTTTTTTTTTTAATCTATTTGTATTATGTCATGAGTTTCTGGCATGGCACAACATGAGCTTTGGCTTAACAGAGTCGTGCTCCATAACCAAACGTCTGTTTAATGGCATCAAAGTAGTATCTCTGCCAGCCCACTTTCATTCTTTCCTCCTCATTGCTGGGAACTCCTCTGGCCTCCAGAAGCAGCTCTGTCTCACTACCTTGATTTATGAAGTCTAAAATGACAGTTGCTGCGTGTCCTGAAAGAGAGTTAGAAAGAACTCAGATTAAGGCAAACAGATCCAACAACAGTGATGAACATTGGCCATAAACAATCAACAATGAGCAAAACATTTCATAGACTTCCCTTAATATATACAAAACAAATAACACAGAAAAATAAAAACCAAATAATATAGAAAAATATTATGATTACTAATATTAAAGTAGCATGTGGGTTCATAAAAAAAAGACTACATTAATATATACAATAATGAACCATACCAGTTGGCCAACTTGAAAACCTCCATTTCATGACAATTTTCTGGTCTGGAATCTGAAAGAGAAATGGGCAATTTTTACAAAATCTATGTTGAAAATTATGCGTCAATAGAGAAATGCACTATTTAAAAAAATGAAATTCTCACCTGATAAATCAATTAAACCAAATTAAGAAAATATTATGATTACTAATATTAAAGTAGCATGTGGGTTCATAAAAAAAAGACTACATTAATATATACAATAATAAACCATACCAGTTGGCCAACTTGAAAACCTCCATTTCATGACAATTTTCTGGTCTGGAATCTGAAAGAGAAATGGGCAATTTTTACAAAATCTATGTTGAAAATTATGCGTCAATAGAGAAATGCACTATTTAAAAAAATGAAATTCTCACCTGATAAATCAATTAAACCAAATTAATTGATTTAACAGTTAAAAACCATTATAAGAGGTTCATTCTCACCAGTTCTGCAAACTGCCCATGAACATTTCCTTCCAGCAGCCGGAATTTGCCACCTGAGCACCCATCCACAAAGGCAGCAAGGTGTGTAAATGCTTGTACCATCTACACACATGGAAAAACAAGAAGCAAGTGAGTTCAACATCAAATAATCTGTGCATAAAGAACACCAGGATACATACACATACATTTATATTTTCAACTGCATTTGTATGGATTTACAGGACAAGAGGGGAGTTTATTCTGACCTCTTGGTTTAGGAAAACCCTGTACAACTCTTCTGGTGAGGTAAGAAAGGTGTCTTTCATAGTCAAAGATACTGTTGAAATTTTAACTCCAGTGTTGGGAGCATTTTTTGTTGTGGAGGATCCAATCTGTGGGGGGACCAAAACATTTATACTCAATTTTGATACAGAGCTGAAATATTAATGTGCACAAATATCACTTGAATCCAAAAACAATCATGAAAATATGTGTGTGTGATTGCAACTGACATAAAATACAGGGTGGATGTATGACCAGCATACTATCTAGCATATATTTGTGTTACCAGAAAAATGAACGAGAACTTACTTGGGTTTTGTCTAGTTTGACCTTGGCTTGTGTCTCCTGATTCTGTTTGTTGAATGCGTTTTCTGTTGGTAAAATCATACCCTGAGAGAACGCTGTAAAAACAAGTTACGAGAATGTGATGACCTGCACACATAAAACAAAGCAGAAATTACTAATAGATGACGTTTTAGATCCATCACCTGTTTTGAGATGTTTGACATAGTTGCCCAGTGCCATTCTGATTTTCTTGACTCCCTCCTTTCTCATGAGGTCAGTCAGAAGTGTGTTTGGCTGGTCTTTACAAAGTCTAGCACAAATCTGTTCAAACAAACATGTTAGATTTTCATTCAACATGCTCACTCGTATTGAAAGAGTCTTTAATTGGGAGAGAGGTTCACTTACATCTAAGTCATCCATGTCATTTTCATCAGAGAGATTTGGTATTTCCACAGTGCCTTTATATTTGATTCCCATTTTATTTGTACCTACAGTGAAGAAAAAAAACATGTCTTTCATTTCACCTTTACATTCAATTATTATGTTGTGTGTGCAAACAGAACTTTGACTCACCAGTCCATGAGGCTTTAACAACCCACTCATAGAAGTAGATGAGTTTCCCTTTGCGGTTGTTGATAGAGGCCTCTCCATCTATATTGCTGACGTCTGTGATCTCGCATGAGCCTTCTTCACCCTCTACACGAAGCCCAAGAAGGAGGCTATTTATTGCATCTTGAGACCAGCTTGTGACATCTCTCTCTGTCCTGTGGTATACAATTAAGGAAATAAATATATATATATATATATACACACACACACACACACACACACACACACACACACACACATATTTGACA